GGCGGGAACTGCTGCTCAAGATGGCAGAGGATATGGCTGAGGGTGGCGATGACGAGAGCGACGAGGAGGAGGAGGAGGGAAATGGTCCGGCAAAGGTGGAAGGGAAGAACGAGAAGAAGCTGTCTGAGGAAGAAGCCACCTTGGTTGATGATGTGGAGATCACAGAGAAGGGCCTGCTGATTGAGGAAGAGCTTTCCAAATTCGCTGAGGACCCCAACTTCGTTGGAGCGGATGACACATGTGAGCTCAATGTCGATGAGCACTTGGAGAGTTCTACAGTAGCAGAGCCCGAGTCTGACGCAGAGGAGGCCGCAGAAGCAACCCTTACAGACCTGTCGATCAACACCATCTTCACACTGGAGGATGTCTTGAAGGCCACTGACTTTGCTGGCTACATTCCCAAAGGTGATGACCACGAGTCGCGTTGCTTGAAGCGGATCCGGGCCATTGTGGATCAGACCAGGCACTTTGTTGCACTGGTTCGCATCAAGGAGCGTGTGCTCAATTGGCCAGACGTTCTCAAGGTCAAGACGAGAGCCAAGGCACACCAGGCATATGAGCACGCTGTGGCAAAAGCCAGGGCAAGCTTTCAGTGCAGCGCACAGAGGCAGTCACGGTTCTCCTTGTGGCAAAGCTTCTCCAAGAGAGTTGCGAAGGACGCTATCACTGAGGCGGAATGCCCGGTTGCATCCGATTTCGCTGTCATGGAGCCAACCCGCTACCTCAACGGCACCACTTTCAACTCTTCAGGTACCCGACTTGCGCAAGTGCTAATTGTGCGCCCGCTGAATCTTTTTTTGATATTTTTAACATTTTTTTAACATTTTTGTCTTGAGAAGATTTGGATAGGTTTGGACTTTCTTTGATGGTCCTGGAATGTCCTGGATGAATTGAGATGAATTGAGGAACTATGCATCGAGCTGCGGTGGCCTTCGGATTGCAGTTCCAGTGGAGGTTTGGAGAGGCACCAAGACTAAGTCTGGCTCGCTGTGTAAGCAGAAGTTGGTCGCGGCGGGGCAGTTTCCAGCCCACCTCATCACCACCGTGCAAGTCCAGTTGCTCATGCCTTTCGGCGATGATGACAAGACATTCATCGGAACGTGGCTTCGGAGCATTTGGCAAATCGGGGTCAATCTTTTCTATTTTTTGTTTTTGATCAGGATGTCACTGTTTTTCATATTTTTTTAAATTGTGAGGCGCCGTTCGCCTGTGGCGACGTTGAACGCTACTGATGGGTCAATCCTTTGTGAGTTCAACCCGTCGCACATCGATGTGAGCTTCACTTCAAACCACATCAAAGTTGTCCTCCAGGATTCCGCGCTGGAAGCTTACAAGGCAGCCGTTGTGTCAGGAACTCCTTTTGCAGAGAAGACCACTGCCCCAGAGGTGAACTACTTGACAGAGAACGAGTTGAAACCACACACGGAGAAGGGCAGGGTCAACATCCTCAAGGTCTTTGATGGGATGTTGGCAGATTACCAGAAGATCTTTTCCAAGATTGTTCATGGAGACAAACTTGAAGTGGTTGGCCCCAGCTTGAAGGCTGAAGAGGTTTCCTTGAAAGAGCTGCGAGCCCGGCTTCCAGAGCACTATTTGCAGAAATTTGCCAAGGTGAATCTTACCGCCGCCCAGAAAACCATGCCGATGGGGCGGCTGGTGAAGCTTGATTTGCAGGCAGCTGCGCCAACATATGGACAGCCACCTTCTCTTTTCAAGCGGTGGCTTGGGCACGTGCACTACCTGGCCCCTTCTGCTTTGAAAGTGACTGAGGCGAAAGGGGCAAAGTGAATCAAAATGATTCCATGTGATTCCTGTGAATCTGAGATCTTGAAGATCTCCTTGGGGCTTTTCGGGACGTTGCGTCCGGTTGCGTCCAAAGGACGTGTTGGGGTTTAGATAGAGACCATCTGGCAATTTCTGGCCTTTCGCGAGAAAAATTATTTTGCTGGTGGTGCGCTTGTCAATGACTGCTTATATATTTTCATGCTTTTTGGCTGTTGGAAACAAATTCCCCAGGACCCCCCCCCCCTCAGCATCTTCCAAATCTTCCAAGTTTGGATGTCTTATAAAAAACAAAAAAACTTGTCAAATTATTTGAGAGGGTCTGACACCCCCAAGAATATTTACAACAGAGGTGGTGTGACCACCTCAAAATAATTGTTTATTATTTTTGAGGTGGGTGGTCCCCGGGTGGTCCTAAGGCAAGGGATATCTCCTAGTAGCGATGCACTTGTTCCTAGTAGGGAATGTACACATAGGATCTCCAGCTGTCTCCTTGTCACTTGTCATTAGCCAATTGACAACCACTCGTGGACTAAAACGCTGAAGCTGAAGCCCATTTCAGATCGCCATTGTGCGAAAGCTGAAGCTCTGGTGTTTGAGGCGGTCGGATCCAGAGAAGCTCACCATGCCTGGTACCTCCTGGCAGTTGAGGCGCTCAGCGTTCCAGTTGGACACTCTGTTTACCTTAAGACTCTAAGACTTTACATATATAAGAGTATTAGTGTGGGGGAGGAGAGTTCAGATGTTTCAACATCTGAACTCCCTACTCAAAATTCAATGTCAGATGATTTTTGAGCTCCGTTCAAATTGTTTGGACAGTGCTGTCTGAGATTCGATAGATGCATACTTTAACCAGATTCCATGGATCACAGTTTTTTCCTTTATTCTCGAGCCTGCCTCAGCAGCAAGACAGTGCCTTCGCAAAATCCAGAAGGGCCTGTTCTGTGTGAAGCACAACATATATAAGCCGAAGAAGAATCCCCAACCGCTGGGCTTGAATTTGCTGGTTAAGCAATGTCAACATTTGGCATTTGTCAATACTGTACATTTGCGATATTTGCAAGTCTATTAACAAGTGGTGTGTGTTCGTTAGACACTGCCGTTTTTCAAAAGTGTGAATGTGAACCTTTTCAATGCGCCATAAAAGCATGACACCATCGCAACAAACCAAAATTCATGGACCTTTTCCGAAACCGGCCTTGGAGCCAGCCAGCAAGTTAGCACGACAGCATGACCCCAGTTTCGCATCTCAGTGTGACAACGTTTTTAGCGTGTTAGTGTGACCCTTGCCAGTATGACACTAGCGTGAGGAACGTGCTTTGGAACCACCTCCGGAACTTTGGGCGGTCTGTGCTGGCTCGTGCCCCCACCGCCCAGCGGACCTTGACCTGCCCTGTCTTGGCCGACGGGAGCGCAAGCACCTCAGAACAGTCTTGCATCAACGCTGGCTTCCGCCTCCGTGCCCCCCCAAGGCGTGGACCGAGCTACTGATGCTGTCTCAGTGTGTGCTGGGGGCCCCTCTCCGCGCTGGCCGCCGCCACCGCCGAGCTGCTGCCGCATATAACCTCGATCGCTTGCGGCGGTGGACAGACGGCGAACGACGCAGTCTCTGGGAGGACAGCCAGCTACCCCTCGTGGGCCGGAAGCCTTTGAAGGAGGCACAGCGGCGTGAGCTGGCTCTCAGTCTTGCCCGCGAAGGCTTCGATCGGAAGGCGCGCAATGCCCTCCTCCAGACAGGGCTTTGGCGAAGAAAATGGGGACACCGCAGCAGCCCTCCGAGCTTTGCGCCCAGTCCAACAGTCCCCCACTGCCGACTTGGCTGCCCTCCCTTTGGCAGATGAGCTCCCGGAAGGCTGCGTCGCAAGGGCCTTACGCAGCTTTCCTGCCGACGCAGCGCCCGGTCCTTCTCGGCTACGAGTGCAACACTTACGTGAGGCAGGGCCGCCCGGCATGGCCCACAGCACCGTACGAAGCTGGTGAACCTGCTTGCGCAGGGGCGGGCCTGCCCTGCAGTCGCGCCAGTTCTTGCCGGAGCCGGCCTGGTTGCTGTCCCAAAGCCAAACGGCGGAGTCCGATTCATTGCCATCGGTGAAGTCTTCCGCCGACTCACCACGAAATACTTGATGCAAAATGCAAACTGTGCAAGAGGACGCCCGCCGCATGCTCTGGCCAACTCAGCTGGGTGTGGGGGTCAAGTCCGGGGTTGAGGTCGCTATTCAGGCATGGACGTTACGGCGCCGCTCAACGCACGGCAAGGTGCTAGCCAAACTGGATTTTGCAAATGCCTTCAACCGCATCTCTCGGAGAGCAGTTTTGGAGATGGCAGCCTCCAACTTCCCCAGCGTCAGTCGCTGGGTGACTTGGTGCTACCAACGTCCCTCCTCCTTTTGCTTTGGCTCTTCCCACATCCCTTCAGCAGGCGGTGTTCAGCATGGCAATGGGGACCCTCTCGGGCCGCTACTCTTCTCGACAGCGATCCATGCTTTGACCACAGAACTGAAATCTGGGCCCTGGACCTGGCAGTATTCTACTTGAATGATGGAGTCATAGCAGTGGACATTGCCGCGGTGGGCGCAGCCATCACCCACAGTCGAGCGCGAGGGGGAGAGCTTATGGAGCGCCGGCCCATACGGAGTGCCGGGTTCAAGCTGTGACCCCTTTGTTGGACCAACTGTCCAGCCTTCAAGACGCACAGGTTGGCGTCCGTTTGCTGCGTACAAGCGCGAGATATGGAAGGGTGATGCACAGCATGCGATGCACGCCGCCGGCAAGCCATTTGGACCCACTACAAAAGTTCGATTCCATGGTTCACGCGGCGTTCTCCAGCATCACCGGCTTGCATCTGAACTCCGCCCAACGTGAACAAGCTAGCCGGGGCTCTGCCATGCTGGGCTTGGCCTTCGCAGCGCGACTTGGACAGCCCGGCTGCCTTCCTCGCTTCAAAAGGAAGCACAGCCCTTGCTTGTGAACAACTGGACCCGTGGACCCGTGCTACCTTGCCGCTGCCGTGGTCCTGGAGCCGGCCGTTACACAGGCGACCGCTTTCTTCAACGCGCGTGTGCAGCACCCTTTGGCCCCTGGAACTGCCTTTCGCACGCAGCAGTTTGACGCACTTGGTAGATGAGGCATCGTGGCAGGCACAGCTGAACCTGGAGCCCGCGCATTCCTTCAGATGGACAGTACCCTTTTTGTGGCCGAGCTACGCCGCCGACTGGCGGTCCCGGAAGCAACTGAGGACAAGTGGCGCCCGCAATGTAATGGCATTCTTGACACGCTCTCTCTGCATGCCGGGACATGCGTGGCAGGCGGTGAGAAGACACTCCGCCGCGCAGCAGTGCGTGACACCTTCTTGTACCGGTGGGCGGACCGGGCAGGGCTGCAACCCGAGAAAGCACGCGGGGCTGCTGCTCCCACAGCGACTAGAAGAGGTTGCAAACCAACATCGCCTCCCTGCGGATATTGTCCTACCCAGCTTCAACGGTGTTCCTGCTGGGTTGTGGCCGAGCCAACGGGCGCCTGGGAGCTGGAAGCCAGCAAACTGCTCCTGCAACTTTCCCGGAGGCACGGCAGCTCGAACTGGGGAGGATGCTGCTGCCCTCCACGCAGACCTCCTGCAAGAACTGTCCGTTGTCATCCGCAGCCGGAGAGCAGAGCTTGCCGACTCTTCCAGTTGAGCCGGGGGTTCTTTCTTTCTTCCCTTTTGACTCCTTTGTGTAGACATTCCCTTTACGGAATTCTGCTTTCCATTCTAACTAGGGTTACTCGCCCAAAGTGGTTCTTACCTTGCTAACTCCCACTTCCCCCTTTGCGGGAGCGCTGGTGTCGGCGGGTTTTGGACTTTTGCCTCTTGCGTGGCCCAGTCAGCAGCGCTGGGTTTTTCCACGCGTGGCTGTTGACTGGTGTGCTTTTGGTTTGGCGCGTCAGTCACCCTTTGTAGACTTCACCTTCCTGCACCGTGCTTTGGACAGTCTGTATAGTTTTTATGTGTTGAAGGACAACCTCCGGAACTTGTTCCGGACCCTGCCGTGGAACCTGCCCCTGAACCTGCTCTCGAACTTGCCCCGGAACTTGCCCCGGAACATGCTCTGGAAACCTGCTCCGGAAGAACGTGCTCTGGAAACATGCTCCAGAACCTGCTCCGGAACTTGCTCTTGACCTTGCTCCGAGACCGCTCCGACTTGCCCTATATGATGCGCTATGGCTGAAGACCCCTGAGCGTCTCTGTTGGGGGACAGTCGGAACAGAACCTTTGCCGCGTGCATTGTAATTGTAAACACGACAGGATTACTATGTGTTTGTATAATATGACCCAATACGCTGCCCGCATGGCCAAATCCAGCAAAGCTTGTTCAGCCCCAGGGCGGTGAAGCAGGAGGCCATCCTGCAGCTCCGTGCGTGGGCCGGATGCCTCCAGATGAATCATTGTGAGTGAGCCAAGTTGCCCAAGTTCCACGCATGAACTTGCAATAAACCACCTTGAGTCACACGCAGATTGCACTGCAGTGGTGACTTGTAAGATATTCAGCTTTCTTTTGAACAAAAGCTGGCCTGCTAACCTTTTTGCGGTCTCAGAATTCCATTCAAAAGTCACTTCAGGCGGCTCCCAATGAGGAGGTTGCTCGGAACGGTGGTGACCGGCGGGCTTTAGGGGAGCTCAGGCCAGCGCGGAATGTTGCCATTCCTGCCCTCTACCATACACCCCCTGTCAGTCTTGCCACATCTCTGACTGGACAGGCTTCCAATGGCACACCTGAGAGCTCTTGGCTTGAAAATGCTCTACCAGTGTGGAATCTCAGAAAACTTTTCATGCGAACGTTGTAAATGGCCTGGCGAAGGGTACTGTGCGTCTTCAATTACAATCCTTGAGCTTTTGACCGTTGTTCATCGTTACTTTTTCTGTTTCTGCGATCTAAGCTGAGGACCTGGATCACCCTGGATCCGCCCGAGGCAGCAAACCCAGGCTGCCTGTTTGCGTTGGACAATGAGTAAGGGCTTGCGGCTTGCTGGGGCATGGGAGATAAAGACAGGTGGGAAAGAGATCAAACATTTGCAATCAACAGCCAACAGCGATCTTCATCAGCTGTCATCACCCACTTTAGTCGTGTCTAGTCGCTGGCTTGTGCGGGCCAGTAAGAGTGACTCTCACCAGCTCTGCGCAGCGACTTCCTGGAGCGAAAAATGTTCCATTTGTTCAGCAGGCAGGTAGGATTCCGGTGGGATCGCAGTCTTAGGACATCACCACTTTGCCATGCCTGAAGCCAAAGCGGCAGATGCGCATGAAGTGCAACTGTTAACCATTTTTACATCCCGGTATGCGCATAGATGTGACATGTATAGATTGGATTGAAGTCACTTGTGTAGTATCTGTTCTTATCACCCTGAAGCGTCGTGTTCGAGAGAAAGGAGTTGCTGCCTAACATGGTAGCGGAGCGCTGAAGATCCAGGCCAAAGCGCCTGGGGAGGCGCTCAGGGGATTGGGGCCCTTTGCATGCTGGCAGGATTGATGAGGACCGCCCATGCACTGCTGGCAGATGTTTTCTTTCGCGTGATTTGGTGGTTTGAGATTTTTGTTGTTGAGCATTGTGCATTACATTGTACAACATACATTACGTTGGTGGTACAGGCAGTTGTGGTTGCTTGCACAATTTTGAGTCGATGTGAAAGAGCTTGGGACGTAGTGAACTTGGAAGGGTTTGATGGTATTTCATTCCTTGAAAGTTGCGCAGCAATAGCATGCATCCCATGCAGTTGGACAGTCGGCAGTTCATTGATTGCAGCAACAGAACGCTTGGGCCTTAGGTCGTTGAGATGCAGACGAGGGGTTCAAAAGAAGAAGCATGTTTCTGGTACATTGAAGGTTGCGCGGCATCGGTGGCAGTTGAACAAGCGTGGTGTGTTTTTCATGACCCTTCTTGCAAGTGGCTACGGTGTTCAGGGTATGGACCAACAGCAATTTGCACAGTTCATGGAAGGTTTTGGTAAGTTCATTCAACGACAGCAAGTACTTGGACAGGCAACAACAAATCTTGCAGGTTCGATTCCAGAGATGTTGAAGGAGGCAGTTGCAGGAGCATCGTCGGCCTCTAGTTCAGCTGCAGGTGTTGCCAAAGGACTTGAACCAGCAGCCAGGATATTAAAGAATCCAGAGTATTTTGATGCATCAGATGCTGGGAGTTGGATTTCATGGCGACATTCATTTCTCAATTGGCTGACATATGCAGAGTCAACGTTCCTCCAAAGCATTCAACAGGTCGAGAAGCTTGGTACAGATGACGTTGTGGAGGACACAGGCTGGAGCACGTCGGATTGGGACCTGGCGTACAAGTTGTACGCTATCCTGACCTCGTATTTGAAGGGGCCAGTGCTTCAGATCTCACGAGGCATTTCGGAGAGTCGCAATGGGCTTCAGCTGTGGAAAACATTGACAGATCATTTTGCACCGCATACAAGGCAACGAGCGCTAGCATTGTCACAAGCAATCAGTTCATTTCCAACTTTCAGTACATCAGGTGGCAAGACATTGCATGAACAGATCATGAACATGGAGTTGCTTGTGAATCAGTATGACCAACTCAGTACAAAGCAATTTGATCGTGACATTTTGTTGGGAGTTCTTTTACGGGCATGTCCAGACAGCGTTCGACAGCATTTGACATTGAGTGTGAACGAAGGTACAAGTTATGCTGAAGTGAAGGAGAAAATTCTTGCATATGAAAGATCATCCCGTTTTTGGACAGCAGGTGATGTGATGAAGCAGTTGAACGACAGACCATCGACGAAGACCACTGACGGACCTGTGGCTATGGAGGTGGATGCGGTGAACAGAAAGGTAAAGGTAAAGGCAAAGGCAAGAAAGGTAAGGGCAAAGACACTTCATGGAGCTGGACGAACTGGACTGGTTGGGGTAGCTGGTCGAAAGGCAAGTCGAAAGGTCGTGGAGTGAAAGGTAAAGGAAAAGACAAAGGCAAATCGAAAGCCAAAGGCAAGAAAGGTGGCAAGAGCAAGTCGAAAGGTAAAGGCAAGGTGAATTCGGATCGGTGCCGAATTTGTGGAAGAGCTGGACATTGGGGTAATGAGTGCCCTGATCGTGATGGTGGAGTTCGAGAAGTCCGGCAGGAGAGTGACCAGAGGTCAACAGTTGCTCCTTCGGTTGTTGGGAGTACAGCATACAATAGTGTTGGAGCATCAAGTACAGCAGCTTCAACAACCGGTGGACGACAACAAGTCAGACAAGGTTCTTTGTATGACATGAAAGAACCTTGCAGGAACAATGTGTGGCATGTTGGTACACCGACAAGTCAGAGACCAGAGTTGTTCGCTTTGTCTGAGGCTTCGGACAATGATGATTGGACAGCTTGGAATGTCAGAACAGTGACATTGATTTCCATGCCAGAGCTTTTCGATTTGAGGGACGAAGAGGACATGTCGTGTGGTGTTGACGCTAGCTTTTTGACAGACGACCCGTTCTATCAATGGCTGTGCAATGGCAGTAGCATGGTTGAGCCTCAAAGAGATGTTCATTTTGCCCGTACAGTTGAGCAGAAACAATCTTGTGAAGGTGAATGGATTGTTTTGGATTCAGGAGCAGATGTGTCATTGATTCCTTCCAGTCGTGTGGACGTTGGTTGTGAGGTTGAGACTCCGCAGCTTCTTTTGGAGGATGCTCAGGGGAGTCCCCTCAGAGTTGGGGGGACGAGAGAAGCGCAGGTTGAGTTTTTGAATGGAGTTCCAGAAGAGTCGATGTGTTGTTTGAATGAAGCTTTCGTGGTTTCAGATGTTCAACATGTGTTGATTTCATTTGGGAGGATGCTCAAGTCAGGTTGGTTTCTTGAAGAGATACCAACGAGAATCGAAAACGATTTTCTGACGAAGCAGGTGAAGAGTGCGCAGGACTCCTTTCGTCGCCAGACAGGCATGCCCGTGTTTTTCAGGAAGAACAGTCTGAGCGTGTTTGGACATGTGAGAAAGGTGACAAAGCAGGTTCATGAAGCATGCAGTGGAGTTGTGAGAGGAGTGCATGTTGTGTTTGATTGTGATATTTTGAATGAGGTGAAAGAAGGTTGGCAGTTTTTGTCGAGCGGAAGCCCGGTTCATCGAGCAAGGACTACAAATTTCACAGATCCAGCAGCGGCCTTGTCGAGAGATGAGTGGAAGTTTCGGACGACCATTGCACTGATAGGCGACGCATGGGAGGTGATCGAACATTCGCAAGACCTTTCAGTGTTGAGCACTTTGGCAGGCCCGATTCCTGGAGCGTTGTTTGCAACATGGGTGTTGACATTTCCACAGAGAAAGATGGAAGCATTGAGTTCTTGCATGTGTCGACCAAGTCAATTCCTTCGAGGGAGCCGGATCCTCAATTGCATGTGCACGTTGATTCAGAAGTTTTCCGCCAGAAGAAGCGGTCCCCTATGAGTTGACAAGTGCCCCGGAGTTGGTGCATGGTGGAACAGCAGGTGGACATGTGGAGAGCCCAGATTCTGTGTGGGTTGCAGGTAAAGAGTTGACGATGGCCAGTACATTGAAGGAACTCAGAGAGGCTTGTTCATTTTTAGGCTTGAACGGAGGCGGGGCAAAACGGAAGTTGCTAGACAGGTTGTACAACTATTTTGAGAGCAGATATCAAAAGGATGTTGATTCCTCGCAGAACTATCTACAGCAGCAGCTTCAAGGACCTCGTCCGGTGTTGGAGCCTTCAAAGCCTGAGATTCAAGAAGATCCCATTGAAGTTGAGAGACACATGGCAACTCATCTTCCTTTTGCAGGTTGGTGTGACTTTTGCATTCAGGCCAAATCCCGTGAGGACAGGACATTGTCGAACACAGATTTCATTGAGCAAGACACAGGTGTACCGCGCATTCAGTTGGATTGGGTGTTCTTGGGAAGATCGTGTCCCGCGTTGATTATGTTGGACTGCAATACCAGGTTTGGCAATATTGTCCCAGCACCATCCAAAGGTGTGTACAAGTCGGTGGCTGAAGCAATTGTCAAGTTTTCACTGGAGATGAATCATTTGCAAGAGGTTGTTTTTGTGATGGACAGTGAACCGGCGACTGTTGGGTTGCTTGACATGGCAATCACGATTCGACAACAGATGGGATACAAGGCGGTCAAGAAGTTTGGTAAACCATACCACAAAGGGAGAACGGCGCGTGTTGAGAGGTACACCCAGAGCGTGAAACGACAAGCAACTACATTGATGTTGAGCGTTGAGAAGCATGTTGGCTTGTTGAGTGAGACACATTGACTTCGAGCTTGGTCGTTGGTGCACGCAGTGTTTTTGTTGAACAGGTTTCATGAACACACAGCAATCAAGTCGACGCCGTATGAGCTGTTACATGGCAAGAAGTATGTTGGGAAGATTTTGCCATATGGGGAGTTCGTTTTTGGACTTCGAAAGCCCGCAAAGGTGCAGGGCACAGCTGTGTGGGTTGGAGGTGTTTGGGTTGGCAAGGATGGTACAGATATGAATGTACTACTGACTGCGGGCGGTACCATTCATACAAGGTCGATTAGGAGGTGTGCCAATCCATGGCGAGCAGACGTGGTTGCATCACTGTTGGATTCACCATGGAGCAAAAGCAAAGGTGGAAGACCGATTGGTTTGTTGGAAGCCCCAGTGCCGATCATCGAGGAGTCGAAGGAAGGAAAGGTTGAAGGTGAAATTCCGTTGTTGGCCACTGGAGAAATTGATCAGGAAGCAGCAGAAGTGATGGGTCTTTTGCATGATGTTGGACAGTTGGAGTATGAGCCCACCGAGCCACCACAACAAGATGAGCTACAAGAGAGGCATGAAGAGGTCATTGAGTTGGAATGGCCTGTCCCTAAGAGAGCAAGACAAGAAGTGTTAGACCAGGAAGAATTGCAACCATTGGGTACAGAAGCAAGACGTCAATTGTTAGGACTTCCTTCAAGAGCATTGGAACGAGAGGACGCAGAGTTGAGATCAACAGCTGACAAACGAGAGACAGAACATGAAGACGATCAGGAGGAGAGTCGGAAAGTTCCCAAGAGAGAGACAAGCCCTATGTTGAGCGGTCTCTATTCCCCTTTCTATGCAGGACAGGTTGAGTTGAGGATGCCTGACGACGATGAACATTGGGAAGAAAACGTCGATTGGGACAGCATTGATTGGGGCATTGTTGATGACATGTGTCATGGTGAGCAACCTCCTGAGTTGTCGGCAGAAGATCTTGCAGATTTGGACAAACAAGCAATGAAGGAGGAGGTGAGCAAGTTGACAAGTATGGACGTGGTGAAGGTCGTGAAGGATAGCAGTAGAGATCCGGACGGAAAGTTTGTTGATCTAAAGGAGGTGTTCGATTGGAGTTACAGGAATGATCGTTGGAAGCGAAGATGCAGAATTGTGGCTCGAGGTTTCAAGACAGGGCCAAGTACCTCAGAGACTTTCTCACCGACATCGGCAGGAGGAGCAATTTGTTTCTTTTTGCTATTCCACCTAGTGTTCAGGTGGAAGGTGTGGTCACAAGATGTGAGTGATGCCTATCTCATAGTGCCTCAGCAGGAAGCTTGCTATGTACAGATTCGTGGTTGGATCAAAGAGCTTTTGGGTTTGGCAACAGATGATTTATGGGAGTTGAGGAGAGTGTTGCCTGTTCAGAGAAACGGAGCTCAGCGTTGGTTCAATCATTTTTCAGAGTTTCTCAAAGGTTTAGGTTTCTTGCAGTGCGCCGCAATGCCATCGGTGATGCGCCACAAATCCCGCAAGGTGGTCATCAATATTCATGTTGATGACGAACTGGTGGCAGCTGAGAGTATGGAAGAAGCTCATTGGTTCATTGGTGAGCTGAAGAAGAAGTTCAAGGTGCAGGTTGAAGGACCATTCCCTACAGGGTCCACAGGAGCTGGTGAAGAGCTGAGTTATTTGAAGAAGACGTATGTGTTCACTGGAGAGGGTATTTTGGTAAAGCCCAACAAGAAATACATTGAGAGTTTGTTGAAACTATACGATGTTGACAATCGCAAGTACAAACAGGTGCCAGAGCATAGCTTGCTAGGATGGATTTTTCAGAAGAACTTGATCAGCAGAAGCAATCGTTGTTCCGGAGCGGACTGGGTGTTGCTATGTATTTAGGACAAGACAGAATTGACGTCCAATATTGCGTGAAGACATTGGCAAGTTCGATGAAGTGTCCAACTCAGCAGGCAGAGAAAGCGTTGATACAGTTGATTTTGTATCTAGCTGGTACAAGAGATTGGGCGTTCAAGTTGCCATATGTTGAAGCAGGGACGAGCTTGGCAAGGATTTTGAACACAGGTCGAACAGACGAAGGTTCAAGCAAAGAGTATTTGTTGGAGATCTTTTGCGATTCAGATTGGGCAGGAGTCGTTGGAAGAAAGAGCGCCGCCGCATGTATGATCTTCCTTGATTCAGTGTTGGTTACATCATTTCCAAGGACTCAGAAGTCGATCGCCCTTAGCTCATGTGAGAGTGAGGTTCTTGCATTGACAGCAGGTTGCAGTGAAGGAATATTGTTGAGAACAATTTGGGAGTTTCTTTCACAGACGGCTTGCAAGGTTGTGGCCAGAAGCGACAGTTCAAGTGGACGACAATGGTTGGCCAGATCAGGAGTCGGACGACTCAAACATTTTGATATTAGGTTGTGTTGGTTGCAGAGTGCAATTCAAAAGAAGGTATTGGAGGTGGCGCCAATTGGTACAAAGCTGAACGTGAGTGATCTAAACACCAAGAAGCTATCAGCAACTAGGAAACGGTTCTTGCTATACTTTTTGGGTGCGACCAGGTTTGACGAAGAGAGTGGACAACAAGAAGCAGGGGGTGAGACAGAAGTTGTTGAACATATGACAGAAGAAGCATTGAAGGTACAGATCCAAGGGATCAGCAGATTGACTCGGAGCAAAGCAAACAGAAGCATTTTGCAGGTGGCCATGGCATTGAGTGTTTTCGGAATGAAAGGTTGCATGGACAATGACGAACAGCAACCAGTTGAGAACAATGAGAACAGTTGGCAGCAGGTTGCATTGACCATGGTTGTATTGGCAATCATTGCATTGTGCAATTTTGTTTTCTCGCATTGGGATGTGTTGCAGACATTGTTGCAGACGATGCTAGACAGGCGGGGCAGAAAGAGAAAAAGAGATGTTGAAAGGCAAGATGAAGGACAAGGACAAGATGCTGGAGAGCAACAGGAATCTTCAGATGTTGAAGTTGAAGAGTTGGGAGTTGAAGGACAAGCAAGTGCGAGTTCAGAGCCGAGACCTCCGAGCACATCCCCACCAAGGGGTCCTCCACCGCGAGCGCCAAATTCTCGCCCATCCCGATAGACCCACCGCCACGGTGGGATCCTTGGTCTCCTGAGTGGTTCCTATATTTTATGTTGGGAAGAGTCAACAGAAGATTGCAACGTCGGGGACAGGTGATGGATCACAATACATTGCTCAGGTACAATCATCGACGGGACATTTTGGAGATGCAGCTAGGTATCCTTGAGCAGAACCACAGCGAAGGTGTGAGAAGAAGAGCGCATATGATGTGTCGTGGTATGACAGATCTTTCACCGGATTCAGGTTCATCTGCAGGACCGGAAGTGGAGGAGGATCCAGAACCAGAACATGAGAGCATTGCAACGCATTGTTATGTTGGACCGGCGCCAGAACCAGAAGATGAAAGCGTTGGGATGCAGCTACGACAACAGTTCAGTGGAACAGCATCGAGCAGTCACACGGGATGGACAAGCAGAGATGAACAGTTTAGGTCAGAGCTTGATTCAGGTGATGGATATTTTACCTCATCAAGTTTGCCAGGGCGAAGTTTAGCTATGCCCTCGGCAGGACAAGACCAACAGAATGATGAGGGTGACGATGGTGCAGAAGTTGAAGACAGCGAGACAGAGTCGCGCAGAAGGATGAGGTATATTTATGCTGGAATTGAAGAAGTGAGTGATCCGGAGTATTGGCAGGAACTACATCATTTTAGCAGTGATGATGATGATGACGCAAGCAATCCAAACAGAGATGATGGCAATTGATTTACAGATTTCAGATTTGCAGAGTTTCAAATTTACAATACATTTCTTTTGGTGTGGCTTGTGAAACCGTCTGAACCACAGGACCATTTATGTTCCAATACCGTGAAACCATCTGAACCACGGTATAAGTGCACAACGAGCGAATTTGTTGACAGATGCGCGCAATACAATTTTGACAAACAGAGGAAGATACGTGAACCAACTGAACCACGTATCGAAAGAATTGGCAAAACACATTTTTCGAAATTGTGTCGAAAGACGCCGGAACGATAGCTACGATGGGTAGCTGTACAAGCATTCGTGAGAGACCTTTTCACTTCTACCTTGACGATGGTAGATCTCACGATTGTAGAAAAGAGTGATGCATAAACTAGAACGTTTTGCATCAAGGCGGGGTGTTAACCATTTTTACATCCCGGTATGCACATAGATGTGACGTGTATAGATTGGATTGAAGTCACTTGTGTAGTATCTGTTCTTATCGCCCTGAAGCGTTCGTGTTCGAGAGAAAGGAGTTGCTGCCGAACAGCAACGCTGCGGGACGTGTGTGAAACGTGTGGGGCCTGCACTTTGGCAAGCTGCTCTGGTCCACTTGGAGATGCTTGAGGCACTGCTCCCGAAGGAGCCTCAAACCTTGACCTTGCCAGACCTTCCCATGAACGATACATTCAAAGGTCTTGGAAGGAGCTTCAGAAAAGGCGCAGAAACTCAAAACACCCTGATGCCCGGCAGTTTGGCCAAAAACGCATGGTTTGGCGACAGTGAGACCAGAACAAGTGGTGGCAGTTAAGTGCAGCTACGAAAGCTATGCCACTACGCTTGGATTTTATCAGTCTTCCAACCCTCTGGATGCTTTTATGTACAGTGTACAGAGCGTCAAAGTTGTTTGCGCAGCAGCTACACAGCAAGAGATGTGAAAACTGTTCTTGGGTGATCAGCTTTTGTTGTTTATCATCTGTATAACTGATCCAACTACTTGGTTCGATCTGCATGGCATGGGGGGCCTCCACTTCCCACTTCCCATAGGCTGAGTTATTCCCCGGTGAAGTTGGGCTCCAGCCTTTCACTCCAAAAGCACGTTACATGGTCGGTGACATGATGGCACTGGAATGCACCGTACATTTGGTACACCAAAGACCTGAGTGTCAGGCTTCTCCCCTGCAGACTTGGAGCAGAAGATGAGCGACGGGTGGGGCCGCAGATGGTGAAGCCTTCAAAGGTGGACATTGGACATGTTTGATTTCTCGGATTTTCAGCTCTCGCTTTGCGAAAACCGCGCAAACAAAATAGTTCCATTCTTGCTTCTTCTGGGAACCTGCGTTTGCAACTTTTGGCTTGCAGATGCTTGCACACTGCAAAATCATTGCCGATGCACGCGTGGCTGAGGTGTCGACAGCTCTTCCAACCCAAAGTGTGCCTCTCCCTGTGCAAAGCAGTTGGGAGCCCCTGGTGAGATGGGACCCGTGATTAGCTGATTAGCTTGAGCTGGTACTTTTCAACTGAAGGGTTTGATGTTGTTCTTGTGAGCAAGATAAGCGTGAGTTGCACTCCTTGCGCTTGTCGACATAAGAGTGCACAGGGGCAATCCAGGATGGAAGATGAGAGTTCACAGCTGGTGATTGGCTGGTGGTGCAAGAACAAACATACAGTATTTTTTCTTCCGTCCTTCTCACAAAGAGCTGATTTCCAATCCCAATGCAGATCTCGGCACTTGTCTCACAGCATCTAGCATCGATTTCCTGGAGCTGCAGGAGGACGTGGAGGGTGGCAAGATCACCCTAAGCTTGGATGTCTCCAACGATCTCAAAGCAGAGTGCTGGAGCGCCTTGGGTGCAGGCTTGTACTTATGGCATCTAATGGCTATGGTTGACTTTAAAGAACGAAAGCCTCTGGTAGATCCTTGCGGAAAATGCACAACTTTGTGAGGCAAACACGTGGCAAATGGCAAGACATTCGTATTCTGCATTCTTGAACATCTTGTTGCTTAAAACGTACTTTTGAGATCTTTTGAGAGTTTGGGCTGAGGCCGCGAAGCCATGACATTTTTCCTGCTTTGATTCTTGATGGAGGCTGACCTTCATGCCATCCCCCGAATGCACGAGAATAGCTAAAAGCCTGGGAAGAGCAAGTCGAACTTTGTTACAACCCGCAACTTCCCAGATCGGGGGCAATGGGGGTACCTTGTGCCACGGATGGGTTCGAACGCTGTTTGCTTGGCGGTAGTGTTTATTGTGTGTGTGTGTGCGTGTGCGTGTGCGTAACAATCCAGGTCTCTAAGGCCTCAAGTTATCACTAAGATTCGGTGCATCCGGCCCAACGAGTTGAGCAAGGACAGAAAAAGGATACAACTCATTATATGATATGCAAAGCTAATTTTGAATGGCAAGCCAAACATCAATGCTGTTCCTGTCCCTTGCGCTCACGCGAAAGGTCTGAAGCCAATGCAATGGCACGGGCGCAACATGTGCATTGCTATGGTTTTGCACGGTTTGGGGCGTGCGCCGCACTCCCAAATTCTTTTTCAACTGCGAGCCGTCATGCTGCACAAGATGCCTCGGCCAAACATCATGCCTTTGCCGACCTTGCTGTAGAAGCCTCCAACTGATTGTGTGGGTGCACGCCAAAAGCAGCGCACCTTACAGATCGCAAAGGGCGTCCACCATCACCACCACATCATCACTATTGCCGCATCACCGCCGTGCACATCACCGCCGCCACCGCCGCCGCCACCCATCACCACATCACATCACCGCACCACCACACCACACCACGATCACACGCTGCTTCCCCTCTGCTGCCTGCCTTTTTCACTCTGAGCCTGTCAAGTTGGGTCTATGAGTCTGTGGACATGACTATGCAAGTAAGAGCTTTGCGTCGGAGACAGGAAGGGGTTAAGTTCAATGTGGGAGGAGAATATGGAAGAATGACTGAGTGCAAGAATGCGAGCAACTTCTTTTGGAACTTTCCCATAGGGCCTTTATGGTAATGCAGTTGGTTTGTGTATTCCGTGTAGTCCGTGTCACGCACTTTGAGGTGCGCTGCTGCGATCTCAAATGCAGCATTTCACCATGAGCACCACGCTGCACCAACAGGGCGTGAAGGCCGGCAAAAACATCTGAGTTGGGTTGGTGGCAGCCGGCAAACCAAGCGCAGGACAAAGACTCGCCTACAAAGTGAAATCACATCAGGTTTGTTTGGGGCAGTGGTGATGTGTGACACACAAGGTGACCCTTTCTACAAAGCCCACAGTTATCATTCAGTCAGAAACTCGACAACGACGCCAAATGGAATATGAGACGTGCTGCCACAGTTGCTCAAACGCCACATAGCGCAAACTGGATTGAGATTGCAATGGCGGACGCCCCTGTGTCCCAAACCAGCTGCAGGCTCAATGGCTTTGATGCACTCTTGTATGTGAAGATGTGTTGTGTTGTCTTGTGTTGTGTTTTCCCAATTGTTTTGCTTTTCAGAGTTTCTAGAGTTGCTACAGCATTTTGTGTCACTCTGATTGGGGTGGTTGAAAGAGGTAGTCTTGGAGGGCTTTCAATAGCATTCACCTGTGATGGCAGGTCGTCAACCTCCTTCAGTTTTCCAACAGATTAAACGTGTTTCCAAGAACTGACCCTGACAGGATGTGACAGGTGGAGGGGATTATTTTTTGTTGCTCGTCAATGATGGCAACCCGAATCTTTGGTGTAACAGTGTAGCGTGATGCTGCAGGACTGTGGGTACAGAGGCCAGCCGCAAGGTGCGAGTCTTCGAACGAGGAGAAGAGGTGAAGGGGTCAAATGTCAAATGTCGCGGGTGTTGGGAGCCCCTAGTAGCGTCCTTGCTCCTAGTAGCAATGCCAGGATCCTAGTAGCGTCCTTGCTCCTAGTAGTAAGGCCAGGAGACCCTAGTAGCGTCCTTGCTCCTAGTAGCGATGCCAGGATCCCCTAGTAGCGTCCTTGCGCCTAGTAGTAAGGCCAGGAGACCCTAGTAGTGTCCTTTCTCCTAGTAGCGATGCCAGGATCCCCTAGTAGCGTCCTTGCTCCTAGTAGTAAGGCCAGGAGACCCTAGTAGCGTCCTTGCTCCTAGCAGCGATGCCAGGATCCCCTAGTAGCGTCCTTGCTCCTAGTAGTAAGTCCAGGACCCCCTAGTAGCGTTCTTGTTCCTAGTAGTAAGGCCAGGAGCCCCTAGTAGCGTCCTCTTGTTCCTAGTAGTAAGGCCAGGAGCCCCTAGTAGCGAGAAGGTGGTTCTTTTTCATGTCAGGCCTGAACCTCAGTGTTCCCTGAGGATCTGCCCGGAGTGTGGCAGCACCTGGTGGGTGGTTTGGTTTAGGCCGGGGTTTTTGAACGGGACGTTTGCATCAACGACAGTCCAGGTTTATTCCCAAAGTTTCCAATTCGTGATGCTTTCAGGTGGCCGCTTCCTGCCTGCCGACCTCACTACATTGGAAGGGCTCAATGCCAGCTATGTCACTAAGGATATGCTCCATGATAACAAAGTGTTTCAATATGTTTGTAGATTTGCGGTGGTTGAGGTTTCTTGCGATTGGTGTTTGACTGGGAATTCAAGTTCTCAGATTCTTAGGGCACAACTAGGAGCAAGGACGCTACTAGGAGCATTCTTACTATACTAGTAATGCCCCTTGTTCACCTGGTGAAGGGTGCACCGACAGTTGGTGTCAGGAAATCTTGCTGGGCGTCACGATCGGCTTTGCGCAGGCCTGAACCATGGTGACCCACAGGTTTCGGATTTCCGAACGACTGCAGGTAATCCTCATTGGTGGCCAGTTTCTCTTGACTTTCGGGATGGACATTTCTGAATAGGTGCTTGAAATGAGCCGGATTTTATTAAGAGAAATACAATTCGGCTCACACCTTAGGTAGAAGCACCACTGCAAAACTCGGTTTCGGTAGGGACATGGTAGGTGTTGTTTCTGTAACCAAGAAACGTGATGCTGTGTTTTCGGTCCTAAAAAGGTGTCGTTTCCGTTTTCGCGTTAACATCGGCCAGGTCCCCGAGTCGGTGGCCTTTGCCTTTCTCGCGCACGTGCGGCCCCATGTGGCGCTGCACGCAGCCTGGGTCATTGGTGCCTCGATGTGGGAGCGGATCGACGAAATCGACCGCATGGAAAAAGCCGCGCATAAGCAACACCTTCATATTACTTTCAACTGGCATCTCTTTCTAACCACTTCAGCCTCAAAATGACATGGGGATGTTGGAAAACAGAACACATTCATTCATGTGTTTGTTCAACTGCATGTCTACACTAAAGCATGTGAACAGAGACGAAAGTGATTAATTTGGCGGAACAGCCACAGAAGCACGCACACACAGACACACTCTGACAATTGTATTCAGTTAACTCTGTTCCCACGTTGAGAAGGAAGGTGAAGGAACGGCAAGGTGCATGAGTCCGCAACAAAGTATTGTTGAACATCCTGTTGAAATGCACTCGCAAGCGGTCAGCGCGCGGCAGCTGGAAGCGGCAGAGGGAAATGGTTTGGGGGACTCCTCAGAAGGTGCGGTTGGTGACCCTGACCCCCAACGACCACCGGCCACCGTGGGAGTGGCTGAGGCGCAAGCAGGAGGACTGGTTTGGGGATATGGTTCAACACAGCGAAAATGCTTTCAAGTCTTTGCATTTTCTGGCAAATAAATGCTTTGTGATGGCCGCGTCATTCCTAGAGAGTGTCCTCTGAACCTGTGTTGGTTGTGTTGTAGTTTCTTCATTGTAATGTTGTAGTTTCATGGTCATGTTGTACAATAGCAGTGTCATCACTCCCACAATCCAGACCAGGAGGCGCGTGAGACACGGAGGCAATACTGGAGCTTCGAGGCCATGAAGGAGCGCGCGATCAAGGAGAGCTCGATGGCGCTGGAGCGCAGGCCGATCAGGAGGGGGTGGAGATGATCGAGCTGAAGAAGGGTCAGAGCGAGGCGGTGGAGAGGCCCTGGAAGCGGCAGCGGGCGAATGAGAAGGGTGTGGCTGCTGGAGAGCGCGAGGCGCAGGTGGTGTCAGATGAAAAGGAGGAGGAGGAGGAGGAGGAGGAGCACTATGGAGTGGATGATGAGCTGCAGGAGCCAGCGAATGAGCTGCAGGAGCCGGCTCATGAGCCGGAGGCAGCTGAGGAGGTGGAGGAGCCAGCGGATGGGGTGAAGGAGAAAGCGGATGAGTATGAGGAGGTGGAGGAGCGTGAGCAGGACGCTGAGATGGAGCGAGCGTTGAATACCAAGCGGGTGAAGGCTAAGCCCCCTTGGGAGAAGGCACCATGGGAGCATTACCCAGACAGTGTCAAGCAGGTGGGCAAGGGGAAGGGCGGCTGGGCGCACAAGAAGAATGCCAGCAGCAGCAGCCGTGGCGATCAGCAGCAGGAGAAGGGCGGCAAGCCCTGGTGGTCGTCGCAAAAGGCTCAGCAGGCAAAGGCCCGGGAGAAGGGCCATGGCGCGCGCCCAGTCGGTCGACGAGATGCCTTTGGTGGCGAGTACACGCCCACCGGCTACAAGTACGCAGGGGTGGCTCGTGCCATCCATGCGTCCACGAGCCCCCTGCTGGTGGAATCTTCTATTGCGGTAGAAAGCGGTGGAGAAAGTGGGAAGTCAGCTGTGGAGGACCCTTTGCCCAGGGTGTGACACACACAGATCGCCGTGATCGGAGCTTTTTTCAAAAAACGGTGGCAAGCTAACTGGTTGTGTCCTTTTTGGACATAGAGCCTCACTAGCTCGGCGGCAGCAGCGTCAGCGCTTGAGGGTGGAAAGGTGTATTTGTGGATAGTGTGAAGTCTGGATTGGAGGCCTGACAGAGCCAAGCGCTGGCTCCCGGCGGTGGTGGCATCCCTGATTTTCCAGGGTTGGGAAGGTTGTATGTAGGTGATGGTGCGTTGTTGGAGGTCAATGTTGAAACCCAGGAGGTGAAAGTCATCCACCGGTTCAAGTTCCACTGGGTCCCCAAAGAAGTTGTGGTGGATAAGGGTTTGAATGGCTGGGTGGCGGAGGAAGTGCTCTTTGTGGACAATGAATCTGTTGTCAACGTAGCGGTAGTAGGTAAAGTGTAGGTCCGTGTGCTGAAGTAGGTTGTTGTGAATTTGGCGCCAAGAGTGTTTAATGAGTGTGATGGCGACATTGCAAAGGGCTGGAGAGAGTTGGGAGCCAATCCCAGCTCCTCGGATTTGCTTGTAGGTGTTATTGCAAGCCCGGAAAATGCAGGTGTTGAGTGCATAGGCGACAATGGTAGTAATGTCAGAGGTCTGGATCGTGCGTTGTGTGGGATGTTTCTGGTGGTGTCTGCCGATGTGGGAGTGGTGGAAGGGGTTGCCGGTGGCGTGGACATCCACTGTGAGGGTGTGTGTGTGTGGATTGTTGTTGTTGCCAGTGGTGAATCATGGAGTGAACTGCATCGATCAATCGATGCTGGGGAACCGAGTTGAAGAAACCCACCAGGTCGTCGTTGGTGGCGTGTAGGGAGATGTCCGCTGGTGTTTGGGCGAGGTAGCTGTGGAAGTGGTGCCAGAGCTGTGGGATGGACAGTTGTCCTGGATGTTGCGGGTAGAGGTGTTGGAGTATAATGTCAAGGGCACGGCTGGTGATACGAAGGAGGTTGCCGGTAAGTGAATGAAAGTATGAGATAATGGTGCGGCCTTTCTGCCAGTGCTTTTTCTCCTTGAGGTGAACCACCCCATAGGGAATGTTGAACTCCTTGCGGAAGCCCCACTTGTAGCGGGTGCGAAGCAGGGGTGGGACGGTGGCCTTGAGATGGTCGTGGATGTTGGCGGCTGTAAGGTGAGGAAGTGGTTCAAAAAGTTCAGGGGATTGCCATGTGTTCAAAGCTCCGGTGAAATACTGACGGGGGCAGAACAGTCGGAGTTGCTGTAGTTCATGGTCAGCATGGTGAAGTACTGTATGTGGGCCGAGAAATTCTTGGAGTTGACGGAGCAAACGAGCTGTGAAGCGGGGTTGTTGTTTGAGATGGGTGTTGTGGAGGCGCCATTGGTGTGCAAGGAAAGGTTCCAAGTGCTGTACAAGGGATGGTGGTAGCCCTTGGAGCTTGAGCCACTTCGTGTATGCTGTTTGAAAAGTGAGGAAGTAGCGGGCCTTGCTGGGGTAGTAGGTGCTGTTCATG